TCCATGAGATCTGGACCAAGCGTGGGTTATGCGCACACTCTACCACCTGAAGGTGCGTAAGGATTATTTTGTGCAACTGTTTCATGCCGTGGAGAAACCCAACACTCTGAGCACTCATCATTCCTTTATATTTAAAAATTTAAAATTATTTATTTTCAAGGGAGAAAGAAAAGGGAAAGGGGGAAGAGAGTGAGCGAGTGCGCTCCCATTTGTTTGTTCACTCCCCACATGCCAGCAGCAACTTGAGCTGAAGCTGGGAGCTCGGAACTCAGTCTAGGTTTCCCACATAAGTGGCAGGAACCCAATTAATTGACACCTTAGTGCTGCTTCCCAGGGTCCGCATTTGCAGAACAGGGTCAGGAATCAAACCCAGGTATTATTATACGGGATGCAGGCATCCCTGTAGGCTGAATGTTCATTTCTATGATTTAAAAAAAAAAAAACTATCATAATTGTGATACCAGAGTAGAGGTACGGGTTTCTTTTTCTCTCTCAGGCACTGAAACTGATGAAACACATCAGGTCTCTGTCTTCAGCCTCTTCTATTTTCAAGGCCAGGTGAACACAGGCCATTGACACATGCTTAATGGAATGCTTCACAAAGGACTTTGGTAGAAAAGAACCATGGGAACAACACCTGCCTGGTAGCCACCTGCAGTAGGCAGAAGGGTTTGCTGGCCACCTGGATGAGCTCAGAGCCCACCCAGTGGAGGTCAGACTGTTGAGCCTGCTGCAGGAGGCAGCTGCGGAAGGTGATGAGCACCGTGGGCTACAGCCTGGGCCCCATCAGCACCTGTGTGTCCCAGGAGACGTCTCCCTAACTCCTGAGCCTGAGGGAGCCACCGCTGCCATGGGGGCTTACGATACTTTTTTTTTTTTTTTTTAATCATCTGTACTGCCTTTCAATGGCACTATTAGTTCTGAATCAAAATTCTTTGGAAGGTGATTTAATTTTTTGAAACAAATTTGATATTCAGAATCAAGTTGAGTCAAGTCCAAGAATATGAACAAGGGATTGATTTCAATAAACATTTTTGCTAGAAATTATTTTGGCCAAAATGATAAGGTCCAGTTTCCCATGTGACTCAAAGTATTTCTGAAGGCAGTTACAGAAGCGGAGTCCCAAAACCATTCTGTGAAACTGCTGCATCACTGGAACAAACAATTACCTGACAGGATGACTGCTTTAGAGACTAACACTAATTTGGATGTGTTAGATCTCATTATTGCAGTACAATCACACTGGAAGACTGTTTTAGTAAGCCTAGCTTTTGCAGAATACATACCATTTATTCCACATATAATTATAACCCAGAATGAAATGAGACAACAAATAAGACCAGAAAACAGAATCCGGCATTGTGGTGTACTAGGTTGGGCCACTGTCTACAATGCTGGCATCCCATATGGACACCGCTTCAAGACCCAGCTGCTCTACTTCTGATCCTGCTCCCTGCTAATGTGCCTGGAGAAAGCAGTGGAAAATGGCCCAGCTATTTGGGCCCCTGCCACTCACATAGGAGAACTGGTAGAAGTTCTTGGCACTGGCCTGGCCCAATCCATTGGTACCATATGGGGAGTGAACCAGTGGATTAAAGATATTTCTCTTTCTCTCTCTCTTTCTCCTTCTCTGTGTGTAGCTCTTTGAAATTAAAAAAAAAATTTAAATAAGACCATAAAACAGAAAAAATTCCATCTAATGAAATCGTGCTACTAGAAACCACATTGAATGACTAAGTACAACACACTTGATAGTAATCCTTCTGGAGAATCTCCCTCATTAGTGCAGACTTAAAAAAATCAGAAAGAATAATGTGAAAAAAACAGAAAAATGGCAATGGAATTACAGTTTCGGAAAATAAGCATATCTCATGGCTACATGGGATACTGAGAATAAACAGACCTTTTTTTTCAATCACCCAAAATTATCAATTTAGAGAATGGCACATTTTTAATAGAAGTGAATTAAACGGTGAGGTGATATGTTAGCTTATGGTTATTGGCAAGAGCAAGAAAACAGTTTTGAAGTGGCTAATGGTTAAGGATAACTTTATCTTGGTAAACTACTTACATATTTAAGAGTATAAAGCTATAGCCATCATCCAATTATTTTTAATGTCAACAGAATATGCTTAAAAGAGTTAATACATTATAGGTTTCCCTTCAAACTGGTCTAAATGTAAATACGTAATCTTTCAAAATAAATAAATAGTAATTTACAAATATTTAAATGCTCAATATTATGTGTTCTTTTTACTTGCTATTTTTCTCATGAGTACTGGTTTAAGTAGGGTAATAAAATAAATAAATATAGATGGTGAATTTTATATATGGGAACCAACGAACTTTACACTGAAAGGTGAAAATGCTAAGCAGCCAGACTGGAATGCACTTTCAGAATCTGGATTTATGTGGTATCTGCACTCTACTCCTGAAGACCAGCAGCCTGAAGACACAGTCAGAGGCCGAAAGCACAGGATCCAACCAGGGTCACATGTGATCTTGGTTTCACTGGCAATATGAAACTAATGAATAAGGTTGGCAAGTAGAAAACATGAATTTGCAAAGTTATGCACCCCTGTGTTAACTTTCCTTAAGTCAGTCAGTTAAGCTCCTCATGCATCTCCTGCTCTGTTCAATAGCATAAGAAATTTACTGAAATAAATTCCAGGTTGAAAAATACTAAATTCAACAGAGAAAAAAATAAATGGCTTCAAAACTGCAAAGGTACCTTGTGCTCTAAAAGCAGATATTCTTCAAAGTTCTTAAAGTAGGATGCACTCACTGTCGCCAGCACATATTTTATAATCAGATTGATGGAGGTTTTAATTCTGGCTCCAACATTAACTAGTTGTATTCTTTGGGGAAAATGCTTATTAGCTTCTGCCTAAATTTTACCAAGTTTCAAATGCCAACTATGTCATGACTATTAAGCGAGAGCCGTAAGATTTAATATGCACTTTTGGATTACTGTGGTCAGATCTGTTCCAAGTGTTTTAAAAACAGAACTCATTTAATCTTTACAACCTCCAGAAGATGTGGTTAACATTATTATTCTTCTTTCTCCAGGGAGGTAAGCAACTTGTTCAAGGGTACCAGTAGGCCCAGAATACGGATTTCAGTGGTCAGAATCTAAAGCCCAGAATCTTGCCCACTCCAGGTGACCCAGGATACCACATGACCCAGGACACAGCAGAAGCTCAAGAAGTATTTGCTCCTTCATCTTCACAGGCCCAAGGCAATTACTTTATAAGAGGAGAATTGAAGTGTATATTTAAAAATAGAGTTCACTTTGTTATAAAGGTAGCAAAAGCATTCCCTAGTGTTTCACTTTGAAAATCATGAATATCTTAGTTTATATGTAAATGCAAGTGGAAACAACTTATGAAAAAGCTGGCATTTTTTACTTGGAGTTACTTAGCTTGGATTATCAGTATTATGTTTTCCACAAAGGGTATTTTATAAAAGCAAATTATTAAAATAGGTAAAATAACATCCCCTCTTTTCAACAATGATAAAGGTCATGAAATAACTTTTATTGAAAGAATATTTGAAGTGATTTGCGTGAACATTATTAACATTTTGACTCAACTGTAAGAAAAAAAATATAGTGAAGGTAATTTTCTTCTCTTAGGAAGAACTCAGTTATCTTTCCTAGAGAAAATGTGTATCAATTCTCCACCAATGAGCACTGTTCACAGTGAACAGAATTATGTTAATATTACAGGAAAGCAAGAATAACAGCAACACATACACGTTCCCCAAGTTACAATGATTCAACATAAAGTTTCCAACTTCACGATGGATTTATAGGAATGTAAGTCAGGGAGCAGCTGCAGGCAAAATTTCAACCACATTCTCATGGAATTAATAAAGGTGAATATATACTACATTAAATTGGAATTATCTAGCAACAGTTAATGATTCACCACATTTAAGAAATACTGAAATTTATTTAGTTGTGTGTGGGTGTCAAAACATATGACGCCCCAAGCAACGAACATGTGATGACTCATCAGCTGCCACACAAACTAAACAGCTGCTTCTGCCACTAACCCTGGGCATGAGGTTTCCTCAGAAAATCCTTACCATATTGAGATAAATTCCAGGTTGAATAATATTAAGAAATGCTACTGGACTTCAATAGCTACTAGAAATATGACTAAATCATAAAACACATTTGCAATCAAAAAATAAAAATGTAACCACCTATAAAGCCTAAATATTTTCTAAAGTCATCCACATTAAAGGAACCCATTTTCTCAAACTTTGTTTGCTATCAAATCATGGTGAATTATAGAAATATCAAGCTAAAATTATTCAATTCTGGATGAAAATGTGAATCTTTGGAAGAGGGGATATTTAAGGTAAAGTAAAACAAACCAAACCCTCCAGCAGTATAAAGTTAAACCTGCAAAATTCTGTGTTAAACAAATCTAAAATTAATCTTGTTACTATGACCTCTAGTCCCTGGTAGCACAGTCTTCCAGCATTTCTCCAACATTTCATTTAAAAATAGTCATTTTGTAGTCTCCAAAAAGACTTATTAAAATAATAAAAGCAAATGTAAAAGGAAAATTCCATTACTTGGCTTTGTTTCAGTAGCATCTTTCTGCAGCTCTGCAGGGTACATAAATAGTGACAGAAGGTGGCAGTGCTGAGCTAAAAAAACCATAAAGCACCAGGTGCTGTAACTGAAATCTTAGGTAGTTCACAGCCCAGAGAGGCTGGAGTAGATCATTATAGACTTTATCATAAATAAATGATAGGAAACTCCAGCGAGCTTAACCCTTACAATAAATGTTTATGAAATGTGCATAAAGGTTACTCAATAGAAACTCAGAGATATTGAATGCATTTCGAGAAATACGTGATTTACAGCACTGTCACCCAACGTGGTCAGCAAGGCTTTTTCAGAAGCAGTGAAATGTGTCTGACAAAATAACAGGACGTGAACCTTTTAAAGAGATCAGTGAGACAGAAAGATGCATGCGGCTTACCATTCATCAGGAGAGCAGCCATAATCCTCAGGCTCGGGGACATGGCTTCCGGGAGCAGGAGAGGGACAGAGAGAGGGGAAGCAATCACGGGAAAGCAGGAGACACAAAGCCACAAGTGAGGGAAGGACTAGAAGATGGGGCCTCCGCAAAGTTAAGAAAATGAACTTTTAGCTGAATCTGAAAGAGTGGCAGTTAGTGCAGTTAGTAGAACATGATTTATGGAAACTAAGCAGGTTTACAAAAGTATCCTGTACCTGGGTAGTCAACTTGCCTTTTTATCACAGAATGTACTGATTTTACATACAGAATTCAAGATTTGGTAGGAAATATACAAGCACATGCTAAAGCCAATGGACAATTAATCATATAACCACATAGGTTATACATAAAAATGTTCTAATCCAACATGCATGCTAATACCTAGGAACAAATTATGACACTGATAAAATCTTTCAAATATGATTTAGAAGTAACTTCGGCCACCATGAGAGGATGGCTCCTTTAACAGTTAGTACATTAAAGTAAAAGCTAACTGCATTGCTATAATTAAATTGAACTACATTTAAAAAGATGAACTGATACTCAAAAATCTTTACCTAAGCATATTTTACCCATTAGAGTATTCTATATCTTGATAGGAAACATATTCATCGGTACTTTCTTTAATTTCACCCATCAACTCATTTCAGCACCAGGAAAGTCTGATGTATTCATTTCAAGCGGTCAGTCATGTATTTAGCCGTAAGAGGCCTGTAATACATGACAGAGCAAATTTCCTTGCTCCTATTTCTTTGATTATATATGATCATTCAATTGTTTTCCACTAAATAACATTTATTAGATAAAGGTGGGGTTTAAAAATGCAGAGTTAAGTACAAACGTAAAATCACTGTTATTTCTTAAAAATACATAATAAACTTTGTTGAAAATTTGTGAGATTCTTTTACTCCCTAAATGTCCATGCCACTCATTGTCCTTTTATCAATCTGGCCATCACATGGACCTCATCATCCCACTTTCAAAACATTAAAATGTCTCCAGCACGTCACTCCCATCACAAGGGAGACCATCCCTTTTTCCTCATTATTCTCTTCCCTTCCAAAGAAAGGGCTTTTGTATGTGCTTAAGAGGAAGAGTTAACTAAGCCTCTGCAGGCCGGACTCGCAGAGAAGGAGCTGGCTTGCTACAAAGCTCTGTGGAAACTGGCTGCAGCCCAGTCACTCTGATCAGCCTCCAGGGTGAGATCCCGCCTCTGGACTGCGGGAGGGCTTAGTACTACCCAAGCAGCAAATGCTATGCCAACATTCTGCCAAGTTGCACTGGTATTTTGCTCTAGCCCCTGATCTCATACCAAGGGAGAGGCCGATGCTTCCTAAATCATGTCGCTTATAAGTCCCAGAGTTCAAGGGTCAGAATGTCTCTCCCCAAGTCTGCTGTAGCCCTGACAAAATGCTGAAAGATATCCAGTGCGATGAGCTGCAGTGGCTGACGCACTGTGCCTGCTCCTGTCCCTGTGAGTTTCCTTGTGAGAGCTGTTTCAGCAGTTTTCATGTCTATGTGCTATATGCGTGATTTGCCCTTGGAGATTTCAGTGCTATTATATCTGCCTGGTAAATGCTTTGCTTAATCAAATTCTTTTTACATCTCAGCTCAAGGAGCGTTTTCTTAGGGAGCATTTCTTGACCTTCTTGATGAGACCAAATCTCCCACCAGAAACTGACACAGACTGTTGGACTCTGTTGGGATTTTAAATCTGTCTGTCTGATTACCTTATTAGCATCCACTGATCCCTACTTAGACTAAAAATTTTAGGAGAGTGGGAACCATGTGAACTTTTACTGATTACTGGATCTCCATCATCTAACAAAGTATCACTTACTGAGAAGGATACCAATCTATGTTTGTTGAGGTATGTGGATAAATAAGTGGATGATATTTATTAGCATTTACCATCAGTCATGGTAAATCGTTGTGGTAACTTGCTTGCTGTAATCTGGACCATGAGACTAAGTGTTGCAATAACTGTGAGGTTTCTCATGGTGAATCTCCCCAGGGTTAGGGAAGTAGGCTGTCCTTTCAGCATCTTGCTATATTGTCAGTGAATCTATTCATGTACCACATTCACATATAGAGATTGCATAAGAACAGTCATTCTTCTTAAAAGGGAAAATGTAAATGATATGTTTCAAATACTAATACCTTGCCCACACACACTTAGTGATGCTTAAAGAGTTTCTTTCTTAAAGCCTCAGAGATTGGTAAGCCTCATTCAGTTCAATCTATCAGCAAGGTCTAAATTATTGAAAAAGATGACTTGTAGGACTGTATCCCAGAATCTTCACTGCTTTAAGAATCCAAACTGCCAAACATAAAAGCTTCTTACATATTCCTGGTATGCAAGTAACTGTGAAACACTTGACTTCTTCTTACAGGATATGATTTGCTAAAATGAAATTTTGATCATAAATGTTTGACAATGGAACTTCTAGCTTGTAATAATTTAAATTTATAAATGTTATTACAATTCATTTACATTTAACTACTATTGTCTCATAGGAAGATCTAATGAAACAGTTTAATACAGTTGAAATGTAACACAAAGTTGATCTCTACAAATCATCATCATTGGCAACTATGTGCAAATCTTTTTGTTTGCCTATCATGAATTGAAAAGGGCAATCCTTGGTGCAGAGGTTAAATTAAATGAGAGAAAATTCACTAAAATTAAAATTTGAAGCATTATTTTAAGTGTTAAATATTATCTTCTTACAAAATAAAGAACACACAGAACTAGCTAATAGACTGCACTATCAGGAGGCTTGTCCTTCTAGTTGATAAAAAGCAACAGGATTCACCCTTGACTCTCTAGAGGAAAACAGCTCTATCTTACCTCTTAGAAATGCTGCAGAACAATCAGCTCTGACCCCGTACTCTAAAGGCATTTATCTGTTGGTGTATAAACACTGCCTTACCCTCTCCTGTTCTGTTTTCGTGGGGCAGGCACAGAGAAACACTTCTCTTTCTTTTGCTGGAACTGAAGGTGCATGAACATAATAATTCCCCATATTAGATTATCCAACACTGCAGTGGGGCAAATGAGTGGCTGTTAGGCTCCTATAACCCACGGGAAGTCCCCTCCAAAAGGTGGTTGACAGTAATTGCTCTCTCCCATCTCTGCCCCTGGAGACTGGCTGGACTCAAGCAGCAATATGGTGCTTTGCACTGCACACATAAGTGCAATCAGGAGACCCCATTTCTCCAGAGCCTTCACACACCCAAAACTCTATAGTGCCTGAAATCCAACGTCCCCTAGGATGTGTCAGGTGGGGAGGTTGAGCAAGCATTCCGTCAGGGTCAAGGTAGCCTACAAGCACATGCACAAACAATGCAATTACTGGGAGCAGTTTAGCAACTAGCTTTACTCCACACAGTTTCCAGTATTCTTGAAAACATGACACAACATCCGAAGAGGAAACCTTTCTGTTTACACGGTCGAACTTTGCAAACAAAGAATTTTTGTTTCCTATTTCTAAACACGTCAGAGCTTCATATCTGAAGAAGGATCTTTGAGACTGCCTGGTCTCCCCCCTCATTTTAAGGAATCGGTAATATCTGAAAAGGAATTGCTAGAGCCACATGAATCTGAGACAAAGCCAGACTCGTGCCTTGTGACAGCACTGCGTCATCAATGTTACTTCCCCAAGAGGAAATTGGTTTCACTGGCAACTTAACGTAAATCCTTTGATCAAACCCACCCAATCTTCTCAGGACCATCAATGATGACTTCACCAACAGACATAGGAAGATCACTGATGTTTAGAATGCCTGCCTAGGATTTATTTAAGAGCCTGTTCCAAGAATGAGGAAAGACCGGATAAAATGCAGAAGGAAGAGACTAGATCTCGTTTCAGCTTTCCGTTCTGATAATTTCACAAGCCCTAACTACCAATTGGAAGAACTTGTTTATTCAATTGGAAACTAGACAGAGGAAAAAAAAAACAAAACCAGGATGTCAGTTATTAAACAGGCAACCCTAGAAATATTTGTGAATAAATGTAGAATCTGTGTAAAAACAAACATCAAAATCTGAAATAAATGTATAATAGACAATCTCCAGGATTACAATAGACCTTTTCTCTTCTCTTCTGGAATACCTGTGGGTGGAACAGGTAAGCACAAGATGTCAAAATGTATGGCAACTCTCCTGCTCTGGAGAGTGGGGTGGGGGGAAGGCATTGGCAGATTTTCAGATAAAGAGGAAGATGCAAAATAACATCCAGCCCTGGAAACCATAGCAGGCTTCCTAAATCCACTGTCTGCCTTCACATTCCATCACCTGTCTTTGTAAACTTTATTTTCATACAGAGTTTGAAGTGATTTTTAGTCATACTCTCTCCAAACACAAGGAACAAGGAGATCTGCCTCTGTCTATTTTCTCTGCAGACACTGTATGTAGCAGTACTCATCTACTTCTGGAATTTTCCACGAAATTTATTATTTATAATTTTAACCAAGGCATTTTTGAAATTCAACCTTGCTTTTTTTAATAGTGCTGTACTGCATTAAGAGAGAGGGTGAATGGGTGTGAGCCAGAGAACCAAAGCACATGTCCATGCTTGTGTGATCAGGAGGTCGATGCTTAGTGGACTCACTTGTGAATAAGGCTAATGGCAAATCTGACAGCTGCCCAGTGGTCAATCCATCAGGAGGGTGTTTCACTCCTTTATATCATGTCCTATCTAGAGAACATAGAAACTGATTTTCTCACATGGCTCTGTGAGTACTTCATAGAGAAGGCTTCTGAAGGGTGCAGACAAGCACTCCTGGAAGTAGGAGTATGTTGGGGGGGTACAGAGCATGCCCATTCTGAAGGCCAGGACAACCTGGGAAATGCTGTGGTAGTATTCCTTAGCCTTCAGGGCTAAGAATTCCAGGTCCCTAACTCCTCCCTGTCATCAGAATTTTAGACTGCTCTCTGACTGCAGAGAGGAACAATGACAGAAGTAAACAAAAAATAAACAAAACAAAACAAAAACCGGCAAAGGGACAACTGTGAGAAAAACAATCTTTTGGCTTGAATGCTGCCCAAAGCCTGACTGCGTGTTCTTACCACATCCAAGCTGTACTCTCAACTTTATGGCAGTGCAAAGGGAAATAGAAACAAAACAGAGACCTGCAGCAACACCCCAGGCAGTGAGAAATTACTGGTCAGTGCACCCATCTCATGTCATTCGCAGAGAAAACAAGACCAAAATACAGACTATAAAGTATACAAACATCCTGGAATGAAAAAGCTGCTTTCCGGATTCAAAAAGCCCCGAACACAGCAAACATCTTCTACCAAGAATTCCCCAATGTACCAAACTGTCCACACTAATTAAATGTGTGTTTCATATTCTAATTAAAGGAAAAAAACACTCACCCATAAGCAACTCCTGCTATGGTACACTTCTTAAATTGCATTACGTTGCATGTCAAGGTGCCAGTTTTGTCAGAAAATATGTATTTAACCTAAAAAATTTAAAATTCTACTTAATATTTCAGAAGTTTTTTATGATGGACAAAAACTCCCCTATATTACACTTTTTAAGCAACTGTGTTACATTACAGGGTACAATGAATGCTATTAATTCACTGACTACTTTCTGCAATTCATCAAGGGATATATTTAGCATCTTTTTTTAAGTGTTTTAGTAATAAATTATTTCATATATGGGTACTAAAGGCTACTGTGATATTAGGAAAACCAGACATATAGAACTATTCCTTAGTGTGCTCTGAATTCCTACTAGAAAAGCCACTGCCACACTTAATATTTATAGAGCATAAAACATTTCTCAGTACTTCTCAACATAGCAAGCAATTGTAGAACTGGCAAAAGCTCATGTAATTAACTTCATACAACACTGGAGTTTGTAAGAAAAAGGATAATTCTGGCCTGTTTTTTTTTTTTTTTTTTTTTTGAAAAGAAAAGAGTTAGAAAATGGCAGTGGTACAAAAAAGAAAAATCTTTTTTTTCAGCTAGCATATGCAAACAGATTACAAAATATACAAATGCATGTGAATAATGTAGTTTGAATTATAAATCTAAAATTTCTATTAGACTAGGTTCAAACAGCTTCATTGATGAACTTTTCCTTCCAGATTGAAAGCTCTGAGCAATTCACCATGTTTATAACTCAGTCAGTAGTCTATCTGCTAATAACACTACATTATGAAGGACATTCCTAGGCTTCTGTGCTACTTAACCTTGAGAGCAAAGTCTAGTTTAAATGGCTTTTAAAACTTCACTAAAAATGAAAGTTGTAACACATATTAAATATATTATGGCAGTTACTCAAGTAATGGAAAATTAGGATCTGTCAATTCAACTGAAGCTGCCACAGAGGGCAGAAACTACACCAAATCTGATTTCTATTAACTCAACATAGATGAGCAAGAAATTGAGTTTACCTGGCCAAGTTCCTCATTCAGATTAGATGTTCGGGCCATGGCAGCTGTGTCTGTGGGTTCATAGTGCATGTCAAGATCCTTTAAAAATTTAAATAAATCAGTGACTATAACTGGTAATAAGGAAAAATGTGAAAAACTTAGACAACAATTATTACCTTCATTCATTCTTTAATAAATCCCTGTTTAACTAGTGATATATTTATATATATAAAACCACCCATATTTCTTGCCATCCTTATACTATTTCATTTAATTCCCAGAAAAGTATTCAATACAGAATATTATCTTTCACCAATGGGGTAGAATAGTATGGTAGTTAGAGCCTGTCCCTGGAGTTAGGTAATCCAGGTTTATGATCTTACCACCGTGTTTGGTGTGGGTCACCTGCTGTAAGGCTGAAACAAGGTAGCACTCATAAAGCACTTTTACAGTGTTATCCAGAAGTTAAGTGCTTAATGATATGAGCTAAAAAACAAGTAGACATTGCTCAAGTAATTAGGTCTTGAAACCCCTGCAAAAATTACCTGAGAGCCTATCAATTTGTACTTCGTAAGCAAAGGTTCTTGCACTGTAGATACTCAAAAGCAAAACAAATACATCTCTTAAAAGCCAAACAAAAATGTTTTTGTATTTATCTGTACATGCCTGAGGTTTGACTATATCATCCTACATAATTAGTATTTTCTAGTCAATATTTTATTGACAAGTCAAGGTTGTATTTTATGGACGTTTACAATATCAAATGATAAAGGCAAAAATCTAAATCCTAGCTAATCTCTCCCATGTTTGTTTTGTGAACTAATCAATATCACTTTTGGAAATGGTTATTGAGTTTTTTGTGCCTTGTTTTTAGAGAGAGATGAACTAACTGGGCCATGTTCAGTAAAGAATTAGAATGATTAGAATGGGGAGACAGCTGGAAATCTCATGAAGGAAACGGGGGATGTTTACTTATGGAGAAGAAAGTAGAACAAGCAACATGCAGGGGAGTTCAAATTTTGCAAGACTATCATTGAGCAACAAGATGAAACATTTTCATAATGCATCCATTGGGCAGACCAGCATCAAAGGGAAACAGTTACTAATCTCATTTTCACACAAGAGAGAAGCTGCATCATAAGGGAAGACTAGAATATAAAATCTGTGTATATCACAGAGCTGGTTAAAAAGCATAAACCTACAAATAATTATATAGTTACTTGAAGTGAGTACAAGGGTACTTCAAAATGCTCAGGGAAAACATGTATTATGAAAAAGATCTATGAGTTTCAAAAGCTTTTTGACAAAATAAACTTATCTTTTAATTTCACTTCCACATTTTTGAAGTATTACTTTCAAAAAATTTATTTAAAAATTTTTAAGGTGAACAAATTTCATGTATTTCATTTATTAAGTTTAGGAACACAGTGAAACTTCCCACCCTACCCTCCCTCCAGCCCATGCTCCCACCCTGTCTCCTCCTTGCTCTTATTCCCTCTCTTAATTTTTACAATGATCTGAAGTATTATTTTTGGAAATGCAAAGGAAATGGGGCCAGCATTGTGGCACAGCAGGTAAAGCTGCCACCTGTGATGCCAGCATTCCATTTGGTTGCTGGTTAGAGTCCTGGCTGTTCCACTTCCTATCCAGCTAATGTGCCTGGCAAAACAGTGGAGAAGGCCCAAGTGATCATGCCCCTGTACCCACATGGAGTCCTGGAAGAAGTTCCTGTTTTAGGATCAGGCAAGCGCTGGCCTCTGGGGCCATCTGGGGAGTGAACCAATAGATTGGAGATCTCTGTCTCTCCCTCTCTCTCTGTAACTCTGCCTCTCAAATAAATAAATAAATTTTTTAAAAATAAAAGAAAATGTGAAGGAAAAAACAAAGTGATTGACTAGTTATTTGACATTTATAATAAATTCCCTTAATATCTCTATAAATAAGACCCCTTTGATGTTTTAATTGTATCTGTACACATTTCATTACATAGTTTTTTCTTTTCTTTTCTTTTTTTTTTTTTTTTACAGGTAGAGTTAGACAGCGAGAGAGAGAGACAAAGAAAAGGGTTTTCCTTTTTCCGTTGGTTCACCCCCTCAAATGGCCGCTATGGCTGGTGTGTTGCTGCCGGCGCGTTGCGACGATCCAAAGCCAGGAGCCAGGTGCTTCCTCCTGGTCTCCCATGGGGTGCAGGGCCCAAGGACCTGGGCCATCCTCCACTGCACTCCCGGGCCACAGCAGAGAGCTGGACTGGAAGAGGGGCAACCGGGACAGAATCCAGTGCTCATATGGGATGCCGGCGCCGCAGGCGGAGGATTAACCTAGTGAGCTGCAGCGCCAGCCTCGTTACATATTTTTCAACAATATATCTCCTATAGGCAGCTTATTTTAGATTTCTAAGTTATACTAACCTTTTATCAATGAGTTAAGAGATTGACAGTAAATAATTCATAAGAAAATGAATAGCTGCAAAAGTATCACCAGTTATATTTAAAAAAACTGAAGATTGTTCAGATCAAAAATTTAAAAATGATTTTAGAAGCACCAAAAATAGCATCAAAATTTCTCAAAAAAATTGAAAAAGGAAAAGTTTCTGGAAGATCAGATCTAAAGATTTATTTAATTTACATAAGTTCAGTAATTTTAACTTTGATGAGAATAAAGCTGTAAGAACATATTTTATTTAAAAAATTTAGGGAGCATGTCTAACACACTTTTAAAAATACTTAAGAAAAAATTAAGAAGAGAAATTCCATGTTTGGTCAAAACTTGTATATCATCTGGAAAAATATACTATAAAGATGAATAAACATGACAATCTAGTTGTTAGCAGTAGCAAATGCAGTATTTTTGTGTAGTGCTTGACTGTTCATGAAGTTCTAGGCTATGTCAAGAAATTCCTTGATCCACACAAACACTATGAGATATTGGGAAGGAATGATTTATCACCTCTATGTTAGTGTCCATAAAATAAGTTTCAAGAAATGACTTGGCAAAGTTCACACACCAGTAAGTTATAATACTGGAACTGCAATCCAGGTGTTTTGATTTTGTGGTTCTCTTCTAGCTCAGGAAACTTTTCCCTAAGATATCTGATCAGTATGAGTGTGATTTTGAGATGAGAGATTTTGTGATAATTATATTAGGCTTAAAAATGTCATCCTGTACTCAATTAAAGGTAGATTTTTTTTTTTTTCCTGAGAAATCTAAAGACTCTATTAGGGCTGGCACTGTGGCATAGTAGGCTAAGTCTCCACTTGCGGCAGCAGCATCCCATATGGTGCCAGTTCAGTTAGTGTCCTGGCTGCTCCTCTTCTGATCCAGCTCTCTACTATGGCCTGGGAAAGGAGTGGATGATGGCTCAAGTCTTTGGGCCCCTGCATCCATGTGGGAGTCCCAGAAGAAGCTCCTGGCTCCTAGCTTCGAATTGGCCCATCTCTGGCTGTTGGGGTCATTTGGGGAGTGAACCAGTGGATAGAAGGCCTTTCTTTTTCTCTCCCTCCCTCCGTCTGTAACTCTGCCTCTGAAATAAATAAGTAAAATACACATACATGCACACACACACACGTGCAAGTACATGCTTAAGGTGATGATAAACTTTAGTAATTCACACTTACCCAATTTATGAAGTACGCCTGGGTAAATTTCACCACTTCTAATGTAACCAACAAGCTGATAGGAATGAGGTTGTTGAAAAGGATAATGAAGGTCAAGAAATTCAGTCCAAAATTATTAGCGCCACCATCTGTTGGGGAAGTTGGGAAATATGTCATTTGCAGTTTTATAATTGATTTGCACCAACAAGAAACTGAGCATAATAGCAATTTTCTATTACAGGCATTCGTAGATAATTTGAGAGGAACACTTTGCTAATAACATGTTAACTGTCAAAAATACCCTTTGAGATATAATTGCATTTCTTGTATTCAGTACAATGTTAATCCTATTAAGAGCTGCATAATAGTACTTGTGGTGAAAATACTATCAAGCATTTTGAATCCCGTTCTAATCAGGAAGTTCAGAGACATTAGGGATAGGGCTTAGGTTTTTCAAAGGTAAAATCTCAGTTGCATAGAGCTACTTTTATATGAATTTTTACTAAATTAAACTATGCTTTAAAAGTAAACCAATGATTGCTTCTTGATCTTTTGCCTAAAATCAAATGTAAGAGCAAACCAAGGAAACAGAAGTAGCAAAAACAATGCACACTGTGTGAGTACTATTGGGGCCTATATAAGTTATTCTCCTGGGTAGGTTTAACTCTTCTTTCTTAATAATGAATATGGCTGGTGCTGTGGCATAGTGGGTAAAGCCACAACCTACAATGCTGAAATCCCATGTGAGTGCCAGTTTGAGTCCTACTTCTGATCCAGCTCCTGGCTAAGGTGCCTGGAAAAGTAGTGGAGGATGGCCCAAGTGCTTGGGCCCTTGCACTCATGTGGGAGACCTAGAAGAAACTCCTGGCTTCTGGTTTTGGCCTGGACCAGCCCCAGCTGTTGTGGGCATTTGGGGAGTGAAACAGCAGATAGAAGATCTCCCTTTGTCTCTCTCTCTTTCTGTCTGTAACTTTGCCTTTCAAATAAATACAATAAATGTTTTAATTTTTTTTAAATGAAAGAAACAGCTCTGTGAGATATACTGTAAATTATATGAAGAAACAAACTGATGGTAGTAGTAACAGTTTTAATGTTGGAATCACAGATCAGTAACTATAAAAACAACTGGGAAAGTTAGATAAATGACAAAAATTTCAAAAATTCGTTTTTGTTACAATATTTTCATAGAATTTGTTTGCATACTTTTGGAAATTAAGTATTTATTGGCTAAGTACTCATCAAATGGAAATGCAAATGTACTTCCTAAAAACATTACATAGCATTAGCACCACCACAGTAAAAGGATAAATGCTCCAAAGGGAAGCTGTTTACCAGTACCTTACCATGACAGGACGATTGTCACCAGAGGAACCACTGCCTTATCGGAGGTCCAGTGGAATTACATTCAGCTGAAATAGTTTTTAAACATGAAAACTGCTTTTTGGTGCTTTATATGTATGTGTATATGTGTGTTGTGTAATTATTCCATTATATATTTAATATATGCAGCTAGACCCTCCATATATTCATTCTATTTCCTTTAATAGTCAAGCATCTATGTTAAAATATTTTTAAAGAATAGTTTTCATGTATATATATCATGTAAATGGCTATACTAAATATTTTATACCACTAGGGAGTGCTCATTTTATTATTAAGGAGTCTGAAATTTTACAGGCTCTAAAGTTTTGTTCATTTTAGTTGAAATCTCATTGAAAAATAAAGATTAAATGCCCATTTATCTTTGGCAATATGTTTTTTTCTTTTCTTTTTAGAACTACATAACAGGTTTGGCATTGTGGTATAACGGGTTAAGCTGCCTGCAATGCTAGCATCCCATGTAAGTGTCAGTTTGATTCCCAGCTTCTCCACTTCCAATCCAGCTTCCTGCTAATATGCCTGGGAAAGCAGCACAAGAGGGCCCAAGTCCGTGGGCTCCTACCATCAACACGGGAGACCTAGATGAAGCTCCTGTCTCCTAATTTGGCCTGGTCCAGCCCTGGCCATTGTGGCCATTTGGGGAGAGAACCAGCAGAAAGAAGCTCTCTCTCTGTAACTACCTTTCAAATAAAGTAAGCATTTTTTCACAAAAGGAATATGTAACATAAATAAGATCAATTGTGAGGCAAACACGTTTTAATGAAAGAAAAAAAGAAGTGCAGTGAGCACTTTGCTGCTTACAGTTTAGGTTGAGATACCAGTCCTTTCCAGAATGCCTTCGATTCCAAATGGCTGAGCCCACAGAACAGACAAGAGACATGGCAATTAAGATACAAAATAGAATCAAAATCTGCACATTTGTGATCCGTTCCACATTTGAGAGCTTAAGCGGTGGACTTGTCGAGTTCTGCAAAAAGAAACATGATGAGCTATGAAGAAAGATGTATACAAACAATTTGGTGATGTGTACTTAGCAGCTGATGAGGGTGACAAAGACACAACTCATTATCTTGACGTAAGACTGATGCATGCAAATTTTGCAAAAACTCAAGACAAAGATAATGAGGTGTAGGTTGTTAACCACCTCTTCTTCTCAAGGCCTGTATGCCCCCAAACCTTCTCCTAGGAAGTAAAAAAGAAGAAAGAAGAGAAGGAAAGAACATTCCTTTTGCAGACACAGCTTTTGCCTCATGGCAGGTAAGATGAACAATGTCTTACTGGGCTAGGTAAGACAACAGGGTAGTCTAGAAGCAACCAGTCAGTGTCTCAGCTCAGTAGGAAAGACAGAGAAGGCCTGTGCACCTGCAACCAGACATCTGGAAGTTTCAAAGTATGAAGACAATGTCTAAAGGATCCCTTACAAATTTCCGGTGGCATTTAGCAATTATTTTATTGAACACAGCAGCAATTCCAATAGTCCTGGTTATCCAGAAGAACACAGGTAAGTTTCCTCAGTTGTATCTGATGATTCGAATGATAATGCTAGATCTGTACTAACCAAGGCATCCATATACAGATAATTAAATCGGTCTAAACCAATATAAAAGATTTACAGAATTTGTAGACATGGCTAGAGGTGGAATAATTAAGTTGCCTGTTGACAGGTAACAGCTTTATGCTTGTGGGATGTAAAAGGCATTAGTCCATATGAAACGTCTGCATTTGTAACTTAAAACTGAGTTTCCTCTACTCATCTAACCACTGAACACTGAGAGTATTACAACATTAGGAAGGAGCATCAGCAGGCAAGTGTAAATGTTAGTGCTAATATTAGAGTTGATGGCAAAAATAGCCCAAAACCTAAATGCTATGACAAATGATCATTTGATTCATGAGTTATCCCCTTTTATGAAAAAAGTATAAGTAAATTTTAATTATTTTTATAAAAAATAAATACATTTGGTCACTGGAGTAAAATAAAATTATAGGGCACATACTTCAATGCAGACCACTGTTATACATAAGGTATTTTAATAATCATGGAAATTACTGAAGAATTAAATGAAATAAGTAGTAAATGCTGCTGATGAACCAACACACACAGTCATTGGCAGGCTTGCATCAGGGAGCCTGTGAGGAAACTTTCCAGTGATCCCTTATTTTAGAGAGATGTTAAGACTTCACCCATCAGAGTACCAGATTATGGATTAATGGGATGGGGGAGGTCACTAACCTGTGACAGTCAGTCTGCAATGTTTGGAACTAGTATATAGAGAGCTATAAAGAATTTACAAAAGACTTAGGTACAAAGGCTTCATTGATAAAAATCCCACCTGCATCAGCTTGGTGTCATGTCCAGTGTAGACAACTATTCCATGAACCCACTGTGTATTTCTCAGCTGAGCACCTCGAAGGAGAATCTGATCTGCGCCCAGGGGAACAGTGCTAGGACAGAATACATTGAAGTTAGAGATGATGCTTAAAAGTTCGATAGCCGGCACAGTGTTCTAGAAGGATTTATTATTAAAATGACCCTTGTCATTTGCTTTATTTTTCGTAATAGAAATAGTTGAAAGCAAATGTTTAAGTTGCTTCTCCATAACATCAAAATGACCAAATTTCCTTATCTGCAGTGGCCTGAATCCTGTTTCCCCAATATTCATATGTTGAAGCTCTCACCCACAAAATGATGATATTTGCAGATAGCACCTTGGGGAAGTAATTAGGTTTGGAAGAGGGCATGAGGCTGGAGTGCTTAAGATGGGGTTAGTGACATTAGAAGAGACAGCAGAGAGCTTGCTGTGTCTCATGAGGACACAGCAAGAAGGCAACTTTTCCAGACAAAAAAGAAAAGCAGCCTTCACCAGACCCTGACAACACTGACACCACGATCTCACATTTCCAGACTTAAGAACTATGAGACAAAAACATTCTAATGTTAAATCACCAGGTCTATGGTATTTTGTTTTGGCAGCCTGAGCAAACGGATACACTATTTGAAAAAAGACGCAATGTTTTACAATCCAGAGAATAATTCTCAAACCTATTTATGACTTTAAATGAATAAAGAAGCTGATTTGGGTTCCTTGTTTTTCTTATAATGTTTCATTATGTATTTGTTTATTATTTTTTCCCAAAAAACCTTTTGAGGAATATAAACCATGCATTTCATAATTTTAAGAATATAGTGATTCTTCCATCATACTTGCTCTCCCACCTACACTCCTACCCCTCTTCCTCCTTCCTCTCCTACTCCTATTCCCTTTTTTATTTTTTACTAAGATCTTTTTTTCAATTAACTTTATACACATAGGAATTAACTCTATACTAAGTAAAGAATTCAATAAATTGTATGAAGAAAAAAATATTCCTCAACAGTCGAGATAAGTGCTGTTCAAAGTCACTGCTCTCAAAGTGTCAATTTCACTTCTACAGATTACCTTTTAGGTGCTCTATTAGTTATCACAGGTCAGAGAGAACATATGGTATTTGTCCTTTTGGGACTGGCTTATTTCACTAAGCAGAATGTTTTCCAGTTGCATCCATTTTTTTATTTTTATTTTTTGACAGGCAGAGTGGACAGTGAGAGAGACAGAGAGAAAGGTCTTCCTTTGCCGTTGGTTCACCCTCCAATGGCCGCCGCGGCCAGCGCGCTGCGGCCGGCACACCACGCTGATCCGATGGCAGGAGCCAGGTACTTATCCTGGTCTCCCATGGGGTGCAGGGCCCAAGCACTTGGGCCATCCTCCACTGCACTTCCTGGCCACAGCAGAGAGCTGGCCTGGAAGAGGGGCAACTGGGACAGAATCCGGCGCCCCGACCGGGACTAGAACCCGGTGTGCCAGTGCCGCAAGGCAGAGGATTAGCCTAGTGAGCCGCGGCGCTGGCCCAGTTGCATCCATTGTATTGCAAAAGACAGCATTTTATTATTTTTTTTTACTGCTATGTATATATAGTATATATATATATATATATATAACAATTTCTTTACCCAATCTTAAGTTGATGGACGTGTGGGTTGATGCCATATCTTAGCTATTGTGAATTCAGTTGCAATGAACATAGGGGTACAGATAACTCTTTCATATGCTAATTTCATTTCCCCTGGGTAAATTCCTAGAAGTAGGATGGCTGGGTCATATGGTCTATATTCAGATTTCTAAGCTATCTCCATACTGTCTTCTATAGTGGCTTTCCCAGTTTACATTCTCACCATCAGTAGATTAGGGTACCTTCTACCCCCCATCCTCTCCAGCATTTGTTGTTTGTTGATTTCTATTTGAAAGCCATCCTAACATGGGTGAGGTGAAGCCTCATTGTGGTTTTGATTTGCATTTCCATGATACATAGTGATCCTGAGCTTTTTTTGTTGTGTCTGTTGGTCATATGAATTTCCTCTCTTGAAATATGCCTGTTTAAGTCCTTTGCCCATTTCCTGGCTGGGTTGTTTGTTTTGCTGTTGTTGAGTTTCTTGATCTCTTTATATATTCTGGTTATTAATCCATTATCAGTTAACAGTTTGCAAATAATTTCTCCCATTATGTTGATTGCCTCTTCACTTTGCTGAGTGTTTCTTTTGTAGGGCAGAAGTTTCTCAATTTGATGTAATCCCATTTGTCAATTTTGGCTTTGACTGCCTATGTCTCTGAGATGTTTTTTTGAGAACTCTGACTATGCCAATGTCTTACAGGATTTCCTCAATGTTGGTCTCTAATAATTTGATGGTATTGGGTCACAGATTTAGGTCCTTAGTCCATTTTGAGTGGACTTTTGTGTGGGATGTAAGGTATGGGTCTTGCTTCATACTTTTGTAAGTGGAGATCCAGTTTTCCCAGCACCATTTGTTGAAGAGAATCCTCACTCCAGGGACTGATTTTTAGCTCCTTTGTCAATGGTAAGTTGCTTGTAGATGTGTGGGTTGATTTCTGGCATTTTATTCTGTTCCATTGGTCTATCCATCTGTTTTTGTACCAGTACCAGGCTGTTTTAATAATACCTGCCCTGTAATAGGTCTTCAAATCTGGTATTGTGATGTTTCTGGCTTTGTTTTTGTTTTTGTTGTATAACATAGCTTTAGCTATCTGGGGTCTCCCATATTTCCATAAGAACTTCAGCATAATTTTTTCTAGATCTGAGAAGAATATCTTTGGTATTTTGATTGGTATCACATTTAATCTGTAAATGGCTGTTGGTAATATGGACATTTTGATAATATTGATTCTTCCAATCCATGAATATGAAAGATTTTTCCATTTTTTGTGTCTTCTATTTTTCTTTATTGCTTTGTAATTCTCATTGTAGAGATCTTTGACATTCTTGGTTAGATTTATACCAAGGTATTTCATTTCTTTGTGGCTAGTGAATGGGTATGATCTTAGTAGTTCTTTTTCAGCTTGGCATTGTCTGTGTATACAAAGGCTATTGATTTTTGTGTGTTGATTTTATATCTTGCCACTTTACCAAACTCTTCTATGAGCTCCAATAGTCTATAGTGGAGTCTCTGGAATCCTATATTATATATATAATCCTATATATTATATATATATAATCCTATATATTATATATATATATAATCATGTCATCTGCAAATAGGAATAGTTTGACTTCCTCCTTCCCAATTTGTTTCCCTTTGATTTTTTTCTTGCTTAATGGCTCTGGCTAAAACTTCTAGAATTATGCTGAATAGCAGTGGTGAGAGTGGGCCTACGTGTCTGGTTCCAGATCTCAGTGGGAATGTTTCTAACTTCCTCACTCAGTAGGATGCTGGCTATGGGTTTGAATAAACTGCCTTTGAGGAATGTTCCTTCTATTCCCAATTGGCTTTAAAATTTTCATCATGAAAGGGCATTATATTTTATCAAATGCTTTCTCTGCATCTACTGAGATAATCATACGGTTTTTGTTCTTCAATTTGTTAATATGATGTGTCAACACTGATCAATTCATGAATGTTGAACCATCTCTGCATACCTGGGATAAATACCATGTGGTCTGGTAGACAGATGGTCTTTCTGAAGTGCTATTGGGTTTAATTGGCTAGTATTTTGTTGAGGATTTTTGTGTCTATGTTCATCAGTGAAATTGATCTGTAGTTCTCTATCTGTTGTATCTTTTTCTGATTTAGGTATTACGGTGATACTGGCTTCACAGAAGGAGTCTTGGGAGGATTCCCTCCCTTTCAATTGTTTCAAATAGCTTGAGAAGAATTGGAGTTAGTTCTTCTTTAATTGTCTGGTAAAATTCAGCAGTGAAGCCACTCAGTCCTGGACTTTTCTTTGCTGGGAAGATCTTCATTACTGATTCAATTTGTCTTGGTTATTGGTCTGTTTAGGTATTCTACATCTTCATAGTTCAATTTAGGTAGGTTGTATGTTTCCAATAATCTATTTCTCCTAGGTTTCCCAATTTGTTGGCATACAGCCCTTTGTAGTAATTCCTGACTTTTTTTTTTTTAATTTCTGTGGTGTCTGTTGTTACATTTTCTTTTTCTTCTCTAATTTTATTGAGTTGGGTCTTCTCCCTCTTTTTTTTTTTTGTAAGTTGGACCAACAGTGTGTGAATTTTATTTTTTTTAAAAAACCTGTTTTTCTTTTCACTGTTCTTACATTTTTTTTGGTTTCAATATTGTTTATTTCTTTTCTAATTTTAATTATTTATCGTCTACTAGTTTTGAGTTTGGTATGTTGTTGTTTTTCTGTGTCCTTGAGATGCATCAATAGCTCATTTATTTAGTGGCTTTCCAATTTCATGATGTAGGCACCAATTTCTATAAACTTTCCTCTTAACACTGCTTTTGCTGTGTCCTATAAGTTTGATATGTTGTATTGTCATCTTCATTTGTTTCCAGACATTTTTTAATTTCTATTTTGATTTCTTCAGTGATCCACTGTAAATTCAGGAGCATATTTTTCAGTCTCCATGTGTTTACATATGTTCTAGAGATTCTTGAGTGTTGGTTTCCAGCTTCGTTCCATTGTGGTCAGAGAAGATGCACAGTTTATGATTTAAATTTTGTTTTGAATTTGCAGAGACTTGCTTTATGTCTTAGCATGTGGTCTATTCTAGAAAAAGTTCCATGTACTGCTGAGAATAATGTATATTCTGCATCTATAGGAAAAGTTCTGTAGATAGCCATTAGGTCCATTTGGTCTATAGTGTTGATTAACTCTGTTTTTTCCTTGCTTACTTTCTGTCTGGTTGATCTGTCCATTGCTGAAAGTGGAGTACTGAAGTCCCTGATTATTATTGTATTGGAGTCTATGTCTCCCTTCATATCCATTAACATTTCTTTTAAATAGCCAGGTGACCTGTAATTAGCTATATATATGTTTACAAGTCACATCTTCCTGTTGAATTGATCCCTTAATCCTTACATCATGCCCTTCTTTGTCTCTTTTAACAGTTTTTGTTTTAAAGTCTATTTTGTCTGATATTAACATGGCTAC